TGATGTCTTATCGAGGGTTCACGATGAGCCAGTTAATTTCGAGTTGACGTAGGTATAATTCACTTAATAGGGAGCTAGCTAGCTCTGTATTCTTCGCCGATTTTTTCTACGGATGACGTTATATAATGTTTTCGTAAAAAGTACTAATGTCCGATGTGAATCAACTGATGTTGAATGATTTGTAATGCTCAAAAGTATAAACGTTCCTGGTCAATATATCTGAAGTTCCCGATTAATAAGCATTAATCACAGTTATAGCTTACAATATTTATAGCACACCAACTATAACAAACCAATAATAGATACTCTTTTTAGGCACGTCGCGTTGGTTATATATATATATAGGCGTGTGGAGAATTTCTCGAAAAATCAGATTACGTAACAATGCAAAGCTACACTAGCGTTTACGTACACACATATATTGTTGATTCTTGCACTCGAGAATCTTCTACAACTTTAGAGAGTAGATGGGAGTTTCGCAATACATATTTAACAGTATACATTATGCACATTTCTAAATATAAATTAATTTAAACAAACATCGCTATTAAAATAAATGTATAATAATAAATCCGTCACACTACTCACATCTGAAATTTCAGAAACCTGTTATGATCATTTCTGTTAAGGTGTGATATCTCACACATCTGTTCGGACTTTGCGTGTTCGTGTGTAATACCTCACCTGTTCCTACTGTACTTGTTCAAGTGTGATATTTTCGAACTATACCTGTTGACGTATATCTCACACATAGTTGTTTGTACTAAACTCTTTAACTCATGTTCGTACTATATTTGTCCACGTGTGATATCTCACTAACTGTTCCTTTTTTTCAGATATAGATTCAAGAGTTATGTTTGAAACATAAACGGTTTCTTTCTCAACCAAGATTTAAGACTTGAGCGTATATTTAAGTTTTCTCTTCAAAGTAATAAATGGTGATTACATTTTAACTAAATCTTTTATGAGTATAATTCTCATAACGTTTGTAATTTACATCTTTTGTTTAGTATTATATTAAACTCTCTTTACATCTCATTACATCAAGTCATATGTTAGAACATTGGAAATCTCTTCAAGAGCTGTGTAATGCAAAAGTTTAAAGATTATTATTGCACCCAGCTATCGTGTCAGAACATTTGTGTAGGAAATATGCTTCCTCTAGAGATGTTGAGGGCATAATACATTATAACATATTATTTTTAAGATAATAGTATCCATATAGTCACAATTCAGTCTAATCTTCCTGGGCTTGTAATTAAAGATGCATTTATTTAGTGTCGGAAAATGCTTTTCCACTGCAACAGCATGACGATATCATAGAATTCTACTCAATGTTTTCCAGTGTAAATTTAATCAAGATAGAATTGGGGTTGAATAAAATTTTCCTGAAATGTGAAGAAAATAAAAAAACTCACTTGTGGGATTACGTATAGTCTTTTTCGTGTATCCATAGTGTTAAAACGTTCATAATCGTTAATGTAATGTTGTGTAAACATTTTGGTTTCCGTTCATCCTGTAAACCTGTTTTCTGTGAGCGTGTTATGAATCCAAAAGAAACAGTAATTCAATTAATGCAGCTAAAACCATAGGAATATAAAAACAATTTTAATAACTTCCATAAACAATGTGTAATAAGATACATTATCAAAGAGTAATAATGTAAATGAAGGCGTAATAATACACACGAAGAAGGTGTAATAACGGACACGAACAAAATATGATAGTATACATAAAGATAAAAGATTGTACGTGAATGTTTAACAATGGGCATGAACAAATCTCATGTGTTTTCTTGTAGCAAAGCCACATCGGGCTATCTGCTGCGTCCACCGAGGGGAATCGAACCCCTGATTTGAGCGTTGTAAATCCGAAGACTTACCGCTGTCCCACCGGGGGACACAAACTGTCATACTGGACACAAGCAAAATGAATAAACAACGTGTGCTAATGCTTGAAGAAAACAGGTTGTAAATTCCTTTTAGATATAAAGTTTAGCAGGGGAGAAAATTATTGACCTTTGCTTACTTGGAATATGGTTGCAAATTACATTTTCAGATAATTCCTATTCTTCTGTATTCCATCTTTTAAACTTATCCTTGCTTTTGAATTTGCAAAATATACATACACATATATATATATATATATAATCAAATATACTTCATTGGAATTGTTTATTTAACAATGAAATATAGGTTGGCATAGTGTGTTTTAACAACGTTAGTTGAATAAGTGCTCCTCTTGCCTTTCTCGAGAAAATATTACACTTTATATTATCGCTTATTTACAAGAAATTACTACTGATTATTAAAATTATTTGTGTTTTGTCCTCTATATGATTTTAGGTTCATTTATTTATTACGACTCTAAATCTACTATAAAAATATCTAAAGATTATGCCATTTTCTAGTTCTTTGTAATAATGTCCCAAATTTCATAAAATGTGTTTTATTTTCTAGGTGCCAGTAAGTTACGAAAACAATCAAGCCATACCTCTAGCTACTGAGATCAATCATTCCTGAATACTTAAACACGCCGTCAGTTGTATGCATAACCTCATTTGTGATAACAATGACTCAACATCTTAGCGTAAAGGTTCTGAATAAGATCAACAATATCCAATCGGTGGTTTGCAGGTAAATTCAACATTGAGTCAAAATGCCACAAAATAGCCAAGTCTCTGATGTCAGCCAAGGGACGGATTCTTCGGTTGGTCGATGTTCGTTCAAACGAGTGAATATCGGTTCCAATATTCTTATTATCGTCGGCTTGACCTTGACCTTGATTGGTATAGCAATAACGCTAGCAGGAGTTTTTGCCGAGTTTGAACACACCGAAACTAGGCCAATAGTTTTGGGAATTGGACCGTCGCTTATTGGCATAGGAATCTTCTTTCTCATTCTTAGACTATTGTTTTGGCGTCCAAGTTTCTGCAACTGCTGTAAAAAAACAAAACGAACGTTTTCCTCGGAGAATGTAACGAGTGCTATTACTAAAGACAGAAGCGCCACCATGAGGACAACTGTCAAGGAAGAGGCTACCACAGTTGGAGCAACACCGTCTGGAAATGCAGATATAAAAGTGAAACCAGCCTTACATTCACCCAATAAAACTGGAACGTCTGGAAAAGCTAAAACAGAAGCAAATGATGTGAAAGATCCAAAAAATCATGAAGCACGTGAAATTAACGATAGTGAACAATCCTCTAAAGAAAATTCTCAAACTACTGCTGATGTCAAATTTTGTCAAGTTGAGAGTATTAATTCTACACAGGGAGTAGAAAACGAAAACCAACCTAAGACTACAAGATCCAGTTCAATGGATTTTGTAGCAGGTTTCAACAGCACTATATTTGAGTTGGGATTCAAATGATTAGCATAATTTTATTTTGCTGTGTTGTATTGATCAATAACCTTAAATTATAATATTTGCTTATTGCGAGTATTTTGAGACTTAATGTAATGCACTATGGGTAAAAGTGTTTTACCTTCAACAATACCACTTGGTGTTTGTTTTTGAATAACTGATCATAATAGTATCTTTTAATTTGAACTAGCGTAATGGGATAGTATTATCTGTTTATGTGGCTTTTGGAATGGTGATTTCAAAATATCTATCGTCTTTTGGATTTATTATTCTAATATAATGTGAGAAAAACTATCATCATGGAAAAGTATTATTGTAGATATATTTCTCACCTTTAATAACTGTGAATACATGTCTTTATGCTTCTCGTCAATAAAATTTTGCCTATGTGCACCTTGAGATTCAGTTAATACTCATATATCTGTAAGATTCTTGTCAATTAATAATCAATTATCTGCACTATCCTTATCAATTGATACTTGCATATTTGTAGGGCCTTTTCCAGTTAATATTCGTCTGTCTGTACGGCCCACTTAATACTTGTCTATCTATGGATCCTTGTCAGTCCATACTAGTCTACTTGTACGACCTTTTCCAGTTACTACTCGTCTATCTGTACGACCCAGTTAATACTCGTCTATCTATGATTCTTGTAAACTAGGACTTGTCTATCTGTACGACACTTGTCAGCTAACACTTATCTATATATACTACCTTTGTTAGCTAATAGTTCCTAGTAAAACTGAACGAGACGCTTTAACCACTTAACTATTTATGAGTAATTCTATGCATTGTACAGAATTCATAAGAAAATTCAAGTAATAAAAATATATATAAATATTAACCTAAATTCAAAAAATAACTAAGAAGAATACAAATCAAGCATTTAAATTCGACCTTATGCTAAATAATTAAAGGGAGCTGTCTCTCTTGAGGCGTGAAAGTAATATCAACTCTAACGAATACACTTTAGTAAAATATTTAGGAAAAATAGAATGAAAATAAGTGATGTTTACATACCTTTCAAAAATTCTTACGATGTCATTGTTACAATGATATTTTCCTAAATCCATTCTAAGTATTGATTTTCATCAATCTGAATTTCAGGTGTTCAGGCCAAAAGGTAATTATGGCCAAGGAAACGTTTCATTTTGTAAAATCAGTTTCGTTGAATGTCTTTCAATCTGACTGAGAACGAATAGTATGCCAGTAAAATTCAAAACTATTTTCTTAAACGACATACTTGCAAAGTAATGATCTTAACAGTATCCTTTAACTTGAAATCTCATAGCAATAAATAACAGCGAATGTTTAATAAAGAGTGTAAAACACCGTTATAAACGTCTGATCTGATGTTATAGTTTGTATAAAAAATGGTTGTAAACGTCTCATGTGATGTTATAGCATCAAAACAAAAGAAATCTTCAGCACAAGTTTTATAAAACTAAATTGTTTAAAGTATAACTTTTTGCTCAACAAAATTTATTTCACTCTGAAATGTATCATAATATTAGAATAACATGATGATATATTACAAAACTTAAAAAATAACATGATGGTATAGTAAAACTTTAAAAATAACATGATGATATAATACAAACATTAAAAAATAACATGATGATATAGTACAAACATTAAAAAAATGACATGATGATATAGTACAAACTTTAAAAAATCACGATTAAAGACAAAAACATTTAACCCATCAAAATAACAAAAAGAAAGTTAAAAGTGCAATCGGTTATAGTCAACCAGATATTCATTTCTGAATTTCAATTCACAATTTATATTCAAAAGAACGTTCAATACAAACTTCGTGAAAAAACGGTTTTAATTCTGTCTAGCTTAATCAGATTTGCTTCTCAGTTAATCATAATATTAGATTAGCACGAGTGTTCAATACAAGCTTCATGAAAAAAAACTGTTTTTAGTACATTTGATTTAATTAAAATTTTCTTTCTGTATTAATATTATAACGTTAGATTAACATACTTGTTTAATACAAATTTCCGTGATTTTTTCAGACATTTAAATCATGTTGCAAAACAAAATCTAATAATTTAACTTCAGACCAGAACTAATTCTTTACTTAACACAGAAAACAAGTATATATATCAAAAAGTAATTAATTACTCCTGCTCACCTTCTTATTCTACATAATTTACAGGCTGACTTGGAGAAATAAGATAATTCTAACAAATATAATCTAGAATGATCATATTTCATTTTAAAACATCTTTAAATAAATATAATACAGCATTTCCTGATTACATAAATGTTGTAATATACTCTTTTCCTCATTTTCTGCTTTATAAACTGAAACATTTGACGTGAGCCGTTCAAATCAATGACTCAACGAATATATGAGAGTTGGTAACAATAGCAAACATGTTACGACAGCGGAAGTCACGTGTCACTGGTAACACTTCATGAGTTTCTAGAAGGACCATGACTGTTCCTGGCAACTCCAGTGCTTGCCAGACGCCCTCTATTTTTGTATATAAGCCCGACAAATAAAGCGGAGATAATTGAAGATAGACAGATATAGAGACAGATATTTGAGTCAAGTGAGCGGTAGTTGAAGTGTTGAAGTTAAAGTGACTGTGGAAATTAAGTGTATTACAAAGTTTGTAACG